GAAGGCAGTTGCTTAACCAACTGAGCCACACAGGCGCCCCAGCCATTACATACTTTCAAATTGGGAGGGGGTTAGAGATAATGTAAGTCTCTAAAGAATTTTGGAAGCAAGGTTTCCAGGACCTTGAGGGGCTAGCTATTGTTGGGAAAAGGTCATTTATTACAGCCTAATAAGACCTTAGTCATGAGACTCTTCAGATGTCTTTCGGTGGGCCATATGCCTGGGGGGTTTAGAGATAAAGGAAGTTTCCAAAGGAATTTTTATACATTAAAGTAGACGTACAGGATCCTGGTTGGGGGGGGGGGGTCAGGCTAGGATTGCCTTTTGCCCTTAGCTAAGTATTAACATCAAGGCAACTGAGTCCATGAGAGGAATGTCACTCTGCCTGTTTCAAGGACTTGTCAATGGGCTGTAGGTAGTAAGGAAATTTAATAATTTTTCTTCTGCCTTTGTTTCTCACATCAATCCCACAATGGCAGCAATGCGTGTGGTTTGGGGAGGGTGCAGGTAAGCTGCTATGTAATCTAGAAAGGGACATTCAGGTTGATCTGATCTGTCAGGCCATGCTTTCATCTTCTAATCCCTTCTCTCTTCTTTATACCTCTCATTGAGAGTCACTGGTCTCACTGAAAAAGTGATTGATTCATACACATACAACAGTGTGAGTAGTATAGTGAGGAGTGTATATATTTAAGAACTAACTCATGTGGTTGAAGAGCTTCAGAGCAAGTCTCCCTAAAATGTGCCAATTTGGCATGTGGTAATTGAGCTGAAGGCAATTGAGACCCTATAGGCCCAAGAGAAACTTTTTGCCATTCCCTTAACTATCTAGAAGAATTTAAACTGGGGGTCTTTCCCAGATTTAGAGTTAATACCAGAGACAAAATTTTATCTGAGTAACCTATCTCAGATAAACATCTAATTACATCTACAACATCTGCTCTTTTTCTTATTTCCCTGTGAATTGCCTTCCTCCTCTTTGAAACCCCAGGCCTCTATCCCATTCCTTTCTTTGAACCTCTCATGTATGTGGGGTTCCCATACATACAAAATTAAATTTGATTTTCTCTTGCTAATCTGTCTCATGTCAACTTGTTATACCAGGTGGAAGAACCTTTGAAGGGTAGATGAAAAATTTTCTGCCCCAGCACAGTAAAGATTCATGTCAACAGGAGTAAACAAAATAGACAAGCTTTTGGAGAATTTTTTTTTTTTTTTTCTGGTGGCCCTCAGCTCTATAGAATGAGAAGAAAGCAATTATCTAGATTATTTCACTAATCGTTGCTGTGGTTGAAGTCAAAATTTGACTCTTGAGTTTTCTTAGAACTGGAGAAAAGGCAGAAAGTGGATTACAAAATTCTTAGCATCTGCTAAAAGAAAATAGTTCTTCAAGTGAGACACAGTTTTTCCTATTATGTGTTTCTTTTTATTATAAAAGTAGTTATGAACATTAGAGGGGAAAAGCCATCACAACCATTGACCTAATGACCATTTTGATAACCTTTATTTGGTTTTAGTTTTGGGGCATATCAGATGTCCTTAGCAATAGCTGCTTGAGGTTATAAGCAGGTCATACTAGCATTGACGTCTGTATGTTACTGGCTTCACATCCCCACCTGCACTTAGGCCTTATGGGGGCATTTCC